GTCACCGAATTTATCAAGCTCATTGGTTGTTGGGTTATATTGATATCAATTATAAAGATTTGTCACTTGTTTGTCCCAGCTGAAAAGTTCACTAAATTTATGGGTTGGAAATAGCCGATGAAAGGGATGCAGGCAAATACATTGCGTGGAGTTTTTCGTAGAAATATAGGATCTTGAATAGCACCTTTTACGTCAACTTACCAATGATATTTATTCTGAGAATGTCAAAGGCTAGGATACGGCTAGGATCAAAGGCTTTTATAGATGAAGAATTAGTTTGATGGATACGTTAATAGTGCAGTTCATTTAAAATCTGAAAAGATTCCAGCCTTACGATGTTGTGCGAAAGGACATTTATTTTCTGATATGATCTATAGATCAATGATCTATAGGTCAATCTACACGCTACCGAAGTGGCCATCTTCAGAACCACCGTATTGTCAGGTTTGCCCAGGAACACATTATTTTTTTACAGCATCCGATCCAGCGGAACCTGATTCAGGTGAGCATAACTTTGTTGAGCAATTCCTCTTAGTGGGGGACATATAGTTATTTTCTCAATGTTATAGAATTTTCCACCTTCAAGCCTACCGTACTCTCAGTTTTGACCAGTAACATTTCAATTTCTTCACACCAATCGATTGAGTGGAATCTCTGCATTCAGAAAAATATATATTTTGTCGGGCGATTTTGCTTAGTTGAGGTGATATAGCTATTTTATCAAAGCTATCTCAACTAGTGCAGTGGCGTGACATTCATTGATACAATTTATACATTGATCGCTCGCTATAGATCAGTCTACACGTTACTATAGCAATATCGAAGTTGCCATCTTGAGGACCACCGTACTCTCAGGTTTGCCCAGGACCACATAAATTTCTTTATACTATCCGATCCAGCGAACCTCTAAATTCAGAGAAGCATAATTTTGCTGAGCAATTCCTCTTACTTGAGGAGATATAGCTGTTTTCTTAATGCTACCTCAAAACAATAGGTGTTGCCATCTTCATGCCTACCGTACTCTCGGGTTTGTCCAGTAACATACCCACCGTTCAACTCCACGGGACCTCTACATTCAGTAAAACATATAGGTTGTCGAGTGATTTGTTAAATATCATCCTGTGACGGTCAATTCCTATATTTTGTCTTTCTTATCGTTAACAGTGATTTCAACCAAGCATTATCCTCAGATTTGTTCAGAAGTATGATTTTTTAATGATACAATTGGATCCTTCAGTTTCTTTTATATCAAGAGTGCTTATATGCTAACTGACAATTTTATTTAATTCCTGAGAAACAGACGTTTTACCGATGTTCTAGGATGCAGGTTAGCTTTTGCTTTTCTACCAGTTTGGATACATGTATCTGTACTGATGAATTCTTACACTGCACCTTTTACATCAGAATAAAACGCTGGTTTCAACTTTACTAGGCAACCGCCATATTAGATTGTTCCAGAAACTTACCTGTCTATCATGAACTAGGAAATCA